GTTTGACATAGGCAAGTGGAAAGTTTAAACATGCCAAGGCTTGTTAAAGACCTGAGGCCCATCTTTCCACCCCATACAAAGGTCCCCATATTGACTTATTTCTCTCCTCCCTCCCAGCTTCACTTCTGACCTTCTGGAACTCACCCACCACAGCACAAATCACTATTGAACCTGTGCCTCCCAATGCTATTGAAGGGGAGAACGTTCTTCTACATGTCCATAATGTGCCCTGGAATATTCAAAGCTATATCTGGTACAAAGGGGGTCAGGCTTTGGATAACCACCAGATTGCAGTGTATGTGATAGACCCTTACTCACTTGCCCCAGGGCCTAAATACACCGGCAGAGAGACAGTATACCCCAATGGATCCCTGCTGTTCCAGAAAGCCTCTGAGGGGGACACAGGATTCTACCTCCTGCAGACCTTAACTAGAGACCTTCGGGTTCAGGAAACATCTGTGCAGCTGCATGTATACAGTAAGTGATTCTCTGTTACCTCCAGGTGCTGAGTGGGACTAATTCCACTTCACACACACAAGACTGTCGGGCTCAGACAGTGGCTCTGCATTACGTTCCCACATAATCAGTTTAAGCATTTAGTGCAGGACACAGTCAGTAGAGACAAAATACAGTAGATTGGAATCCCTCACCTGAGTCCACTCTGCAGAGAGGTGGGTGGCTAGCTCAGCCCAGGGAGGTCAGGCTTCTGTGACCCAATCTCATGAATGCGGCTCTAGGAAAGACATTTATAGGTCTTGGTGCTTACTATTGATTCTGTGCTAAGTCCATCCATTAAGAGGCCCTCTCAGGTCCTCAAGGAGAAGTCTAGTCCTGTGAAGCTCTTGCGCCAGACTTCCATGCCAGGCTTTTGATTCTAGATGACCCTGGAGGTCTATAGGCAGGGATAGATTTTGGCCTCCTGGACAGAACCAGGGGGAACACCAGTTTGCCTTCTGTGGAGTCCCAGGGTAACTGTAGCTGGTCATTAGCCAAGGCCAGACTCCAAGAGACACATCTGAGCAATGCAGAGGTAAGTCTTGGCCTGACACTCAGGGTGGAGTATCACAGTCAAACAGGTACCCCGGGCTATTAATTACCCTCATGGATTCCGACACTAAAATATGACATTCATTTGGGCGGCTCCCTCTGTGCCATTTTAAGTCAGGTACTATGAAGTTTTTAAGGTTAATTCACAGAAAATCCAAAGCCAAGCATCTTTTTTTAATTCTTAAATTTATTTTTTTAGAAGAAGCATTTCATTACAGCTTTAACATACTCAATAACAGTTTCCAGAGCAAAGATACATCTCTTTCAAAAGTGGCTATAAAATTTTTAGGTTTGATGTAGAATTAATACAGTTATACAATATTGAACTCAGTATAAGCCCTGTAAGACATAAAATCGAATGAGTTTTTAACCTTTAAAAAAGGGATAGTGTTAGCTGGGCGTGGTGGCGCACGGGAGTCCCAGCCCAGGGAGGTCAGAGGCAGGCGGATCTCTGTGAGTTCAAGGCCAGCCTGGTCTACATAGTGAGTTCCAGGACAGCTGGGGCTACAGGGAGACCCTGCTTCAAAAAGACATGGAAAAAAAAAAAAGCGCAGCCATTAAAGGCTAAGGCTAACAACCAAAATGAAAAGCCAAGTATCTTTTATCTTCAGTGAGAAGAAACTTAGGTGCAGAGATAGAGTCACTGAATTACAGACCATGGCTGACAGATTATAGCCACAGGTCTGTAGCCACAGTCCCAGGTCCCTTCCAGCCTCATGGCATGTTAGGTGTTCACAGACCCTGAGATGGGCTGTTTAGGCCCCACAGCTCCACAGTCTAGGAAAACATGCATCTCCCCCCCCCACACACACACACCCTGTCCCCAGCACAGTCCAAGTGCGACAAACTTCACTAGCTCCCGAGGAAGGGAGGAACGAATGATCCGTTCCCTTCAAAGCCTGGGAAATGGATTCAGACTCTAGGAATTCTGGCCAAACGCAGCCCATGTTGCTCAGGAGGTGGCAGTCCAGGCTGCAGACCTTTCATCAGCAAGGGCAGGTAGCAGGTGAGGTCAGGGGTTGACAAGAGTGTCAGAGGGAACAGAGTAGGGGAAGGTGGGAAAGTGAAGACCCAGGTTCTCTAGAGGAGTACTCCCGGCAGCTACCGCCAGACCCCGGGGCATTAATAATAACATACACATGTGCAGCAAGCTTAACTGCTTCTCAGCATTCCATCTCATAGCTGCCTAACACACAAAGACCACGAAGCCAGATGTCAGCCCGTTCCTGCTCCCCAGCGCCCACCTTTCAGGTCTTAGTGTACTTTAGGACGCGTCCATGTGGCTCTCAGTTGGTCTCTCCAGTGGGAAAAGGAACATTAAAACTGAAGAACAGGAAATATGGCTCTGCTTCAAACCTGCCTAGCACCTACATCCCTTATTCTTTCTAGAATATTCCTTGGACTTTGCTCTACCAGTCATGGGTCAGACACTATCCGGGCAGGAGTTCTTTACTGTCAGCTCCTGTGGCTTTGGTCCTCACCTGACCTCCCTATGTGCTCTTGATCTCCCAGGAACAATTCTTGCTCCAACTCCCAGTCCCCATTTCTAGGACAGCCTTGAAAAGCAAAGCTTTCGACGACATATAGCTTGAGCTGAGCACTGGAGGCCATCGAGTCTAGAGGGACTCAGTTGAATGTGTCCCAAGGCAGCCAGGCAAGCTGTCAGTGTGGATTACAAGAAGAGCCAGGGGCTCTGAATCCTGGATCTGTCCAAGACCAAGCACTGCAGCTCAGTTCTTTAAA